ACCTTCACCTTGCTGACGATCTTGATCGACTAGTTGGCTCGCGATGCGCTTTTCTCAGCCCGAAAATCTCGAGCTCACTCAAACTCGCATTTTCCAGCAATATAATTTGCTGCACACGTGCCAGCGCTAATGCTTCCAACTTTCAGCTACCATAAGTTCTTCTGACACCTTTTCATATCATATATCGCGGAGCAATTATTGCTCGTCTTCAAGGCCAGATCGGAGCCGCACATTAAAATACGGCACGCGTCGTTTGAAACATACATTACGGCTCGAGGCACTGCTTTCTCCCCTTCCCTCCCCGCCCAAATGCGGAGCGAAGACTTTTCAAGAGTCATGGTGAGCCCCCAAGGTCGATGCACGCGCGCGCTTACAAGGCTTGTAAGGCTTTTGCCCGGAGACAGATAACACAAGCGCGTCGGCGGCGTCGGTGTCTCTCTATGTGTACGGTTTCCGACTTGCGTGCTGCACACGATATCTCGGCGGAGTCTCTTGACCTTCCTCGGCGTCGAGGTTGCAGTGCGATCGGCTTACCTCGGCATCTGCAGGTTTTATCGCTTTTCTCTCTTCGAGTTCCAAGCGCGAATACTTGATATCGCGATCTGGTTGTGTTGGGCATCTGCTGCTGCTGCTGCTCGCTCTGCACAAGCTTTTCTCGAAGCAATAAGCGCCCTCGTGCGTGCAATGATTGGTCTAGTCGAGTTGATCGTTTAATAAACACGTTGCTCCAAATGTAATAACAAGCTCTATTTGAAAACTCGCAGCGTACGTACGTACACTTACAGTTACCGTATATACGAAGCTGTGTATACGTAGGTGGGGTTGCGCAGTGCACAGCGCTTTCGCAGAACCCAAAAAGCACGCTGAGTCAACGAACAATGGGAAACGGCTTGTGCTGCGCCAACAAAAGAGAGACTGCGCTACGTACGTACGTGCTCATACACAGAGAAAGAGCGAGAGAGAGAGAGCGTAGGTACATGTGGGTGCAGCGCGGCATAATCTTGGGACTCTGTCTCTCTCTCGCTCTTGCTCTCTTGCTCTCAGCTCGGAATAAAAGGCTAAATCAAACGAGAAGCTCGTTCTTTCCAATGTTATCCGATCCTTGACCGACGACGACGACTCTGCGGATTCAGCGAATTTTTTTTTCCATTAGAATGTAAGCGCGCGCGCGCGCGGCACCTATCGCGTGGTATATAATATACATTGCGTACTACATATACGCTGCCTCTGCGTAGTGTGCACAATTTGTAAGTTATTTTGACTCGGGTGGTGGTGGTGGTTGAGTGCGGCCGCGATATCGAGTTCGTCTCTCTATACACACGCAGTAGGTATATACGCGCTAAATGAATTAACAGCGCAGGCCGCATCTCAAATTTACACCCGTGTGTCGACACGATTGCAGCAGCGGCAGCAACGCAGCAACGCACTTCTATGCCCGCACATAAAGATCTCTCCGCGTATTGTATATTATGTGACTCGCGCTGCTGCTGCTGTACCGCTGCCTGCGCATGTGTGCACTGTGCAGCCCAAGCCGGCGCAGCAGCACTCAACGGCAGCAGCTCCTGGTCCAGCGCGTGGCGCACGTATATTGATTTTAAAAACCAAAGCAGCGTCGCGAGGCCTAATTTAAATGAGAGCACCTCGTAACGCGACGATATACAGGTATATCGTCACTTCATCGTGTAGCCTTTAAAACCCTCAGGCTCCCCACCTGCTGTCATTTTTACTGCTGCTACTTGTTCGTGTATAAAATATATCCGAAGCTCGCTTGATTTACACACGCAAGTCCCATCGCGATCAACCGTGTGCACTTATACTTACTACTGCTATATGTCAGGAGCTGCATCGGCTTTTATCTCTTTCGACACGGGGATCGTGTGGAAGAATGTCGCAAGCTGCTCGCATTAATGCGCTGACGGCGAAATACCATGGCGAGTACTAACAGTAGTACGCGCTATAATACACGCGTGCACATAGCAGCAGTAGAGGCACGAGCGCCGGAGCTGCTGTAAGCTGCACGCGTGCGCGGGAGGTCTTCGTGCGGCCTCGTCGTATACATATAGCAGGCAGGCGACACGCCAGCGAATTTTCACCCGCAGTCGACGCACACAACGCACACGAACGAGCCCGAGAACGGAGGAGAATATTCGACAGCGCGCCGCGGCGCTGCACATAGAAGTCAGTGACCTCGCGCGCGCCAGTCTTGGAAATTCCACGCCGTTTCAGCTGCGCTGAGTTGATCAAAAAAATTATCCGCGCCGCACACAGCGACACGCGAGTCGCACGGCAGAGGACGGTGCTCTTATAAGCAGGAGATAGAGACAGCGAGACTTTGACAGAGATCTGCACTCGCCCATGTAATTAATAGAGCGAGACTGCGGCAGCAAGTCCCGACGTAACCCGAGCAGCAGCCTCGAGGCCTTCCTAGGCACGGATGCGTGCAAGCTCGCGGAAAGCAAAATATAGCGTAGACGCGTTCTATTGATGCTCCTCTTGCCTACTGTGGCTCCGAAATTTTCGAGTGCGGAAAAATATGCGTCACAGCAGCTAAAAGCTGTTTGCACACGTGCGTCAGTTGGTGACGTTTTTTCTGCATTAGCGCGCGCGCGCACCGCTATTTGTCAAACGCGCTGCAGCAATAAAAACGTCGATTTCAAGCTCCATCAAAGGCCATTATACGCGTACACATATAGAACGCGACGAAAAGAAGCGACGAAGCTCGCGGCGATGATTCGCTCGTTCGCGCCAATGGCTCAACACGATTACGGTTGGGTGCGAACACGACGAGTAGGAGGAAGAGGGGAACAGTCGAGGTTCAATCGGAATCCAATTATTAAAGCACCTCGAGATAGACTATCCGGTCAAAAATTCCGTCAGCTGCAATCTACGCTCGAGCGAAAGATTCACTTTTCGTTCTCTCTCTTTTTTTTATCACGCAGCAGCAGCAGCAGCAGCTGCGTAGTAGCACATGCCCCGGGAGTAAGATTGAAGGTCCGGTTCCAGTTGTTCGGACAAAAGCTTTAATTAAAACAAAAAGAGGCTGCAAGCTCGCGTAGTCCCGGCTAGGCTCTCTCTCTCTCTCTCTGAAATACGCAAGCTTTGCCTGTAAACTCGGCAAAAGAGAATGCGTTAGCTTTGTGAGTACTCTGCTATGGGCAGTGGTAGCAGCAGCAGTAGCAGTAGCAAAAGAGCTACATTGCCTATAACGGCCTTGCTGCTGCTGCTGCTGTTGCTGCTATACATGTGTTCGTGAACGCACGATTCTGCTTGATCCGCGGCATAGGCTCGTGCCTTTGTGGCGCTCTCTGGGCTCTAAGTAAACCATGTACACAGTTCAGTGTTCAAATAGCTGCTGCATCTATGTATTCGTTACGCTTTTATAGCATTTCGATGTCAAAAAAAGAAAGAACCGGATCCGTGATTTTTTCCTCCTCTATGGTTATCCTTTACTTTTGCTCACGTTGTCCGTTGATTCAACGGTATAGAGCTTCCGAGTGAAACCGCAAAAAATGAGCCTCCTCTCGATGACTACAAGCCACCTCTTTTGCATATATATGGGTAGAGCTTGCATACGCGTCTAACTTTAAACTTGACTTGAAACAGCTTGTAACGTACAAATTTTCAGCTTGCTTACTTGCTTGGGCGCCGGGCAATATATCTCAAACATCTCTCTCGAGCAATTGGCACTCTCGACGCGCTCCAAAGAGAACTGCACGCGCGCGCTCATTTATTGACTCGAGTAAGTAGAGTTGGCCCGCTGCAGGCTTAATCTTCTTGGCCCAGCTAACGAACAGCTTATAAACGAGAGGCAAGGCTAGGCGCGAACGCCGCCCACGCGTATACTCATTAGGCAAGAGAGAGAGAGAGAGGCGCGCACACGAGGACCGGAGCGAGCAGCATTTATACAAACATACAGTGCAGTTCACAGAGCGAGAGAAATGAGACGGCGCGCGGTCGGTTGGTATGGGAAAGCAAGCTGCCGCTGCTGCTGGCCCCTGATGCAAGCAGAGATATTCTATTTAGATAGTTGAGTGCTTGACAAACGCTTCCCCTGCGCTGCCGACTCTCTTTCTGTTAGATAGATACCTCTATATAGCTGATGCATGCTAACAGAGCAGCTCTATACGCACGCCTCGTGGTGTGCAGCTCAGTATTATACGCGCGTATACGTGCCTACGCGCGACGACGAGACGTGTACGTACATACACTCTATACTCGGCGGCAGCAGCAGCAGTGCTCTCGGCTCTTCGTGCGATTCTTATCTCGCTTCCTCGCGCTCGGCTGAGTTGCTCCGCTTCTTCTTCTACTACTATATGGCGCACACAATTTATGCCGCGAATCGTGCGCTGCAACAACGACGCCTCACTTATACGCCTCGAGGCAGGTATATCGAGAGCCGCGCGAGCAGCACACGCCTGCAGCTGGTTCTTGCGCCAAAGCTTCGAGCGAACTCATTTAAGATGCCGCGATTCGATGATCCTTCGATTATATTTGACTTGTAAAAGAGAGACGTGCGTGACTGACAATAAGGAGGCAGCCGATAGAGTGTCTGTCCCATTCCTCTTTCGAAGCTCGCTTGCGTAGTTATGTCCCATGTGCGCTCGTGTTGCTGCAAAACTGCTTTTAATACCGATTAAAACCATCGTATCGTGGTCTATCCTGCTAAAAAAATAGTACCCGTTGGTCATACGGCTGTGCCCATTGAACGATTTATTTTTTTGAAGTATCCCGAAGCCAGAGTAATTTTCATACTGGCCTTTTAATATTTTTCCTGAAATGTGTGACTTGAAATTCTTCATGAATCCCCTCTGTTTTACTACTGTTTCGAAGACCTCGTGGAAAGCATTCTGTTAAAATCTAAACGACCGCGATGAGGAGTTTTTATTTTCACCCCAACATTTGCGGGATCCTCTTATTGTTTATATGTCATTTCATCCGATTATCTCGACTACTGGACACTGTGCCTTATCCGACTAAAATGTCGTCTCTCGTTTTTGCAGAAACTATGCGTGTACCAAAAATCCTTGGAGGAGCTGTCGTCGAGATTAGCTGGCGCGGAGGCTATTCAGAGCGGCTGGCAAGTGGCCAGCCAGAAGGGCCAGGAGTCGGCCGAGCAGCTGGAGCAACTGCAAAAGTTCGGCGAGCGGCTGAATCCGATTCAGAGGCTCATCGAGGAAGCCAACGAGCAAGCGAGCGCCTTTGTCTCGTCCAACGTCATTGTGTCGCACGCTCTGCTCGCCAAGCTCGACGATCTCAACGCAAGGTACGTCGTCGCGACAGACCGAGAGAAGCCTCCCTCTATCTCTCTACTTTTTTTTGTCTTCGTGGTCTGTATAGCGACAAATCAAAATTGAGCCTTTGTTTTATTTATTTTTTTTATTTTTTAGGTGGAAGGCACTGCAAGCGGCTGTAGACGAGCGCTACAAGCAGCTCACTGGGCTTGGCAAGGACGTCAACGGCAAGCCGGCCAGTCAGTTGCTGGCTTTTCTGGCCAACAGCGTCGAGCCCCCATGGGAGAGAGCTCTCACGCCCGCCAAAGTGCCTTACTACATCAAGTAAGCATCGAAAGACCGTTTAAACTTACCAATCGATCTCTGCATATATAAGTTTGATTACTGATTGACTGACACTATTTGTTTTTTTTTTTTTGCCTTTTTCAGTCATCAAACGGAAACGACGCACTGGGACCACCCAAACATGATCGAACTCATGGCTTCGCTGGCCGATTTGAACGAGGTCCGTTTCTCCGCCTACAGAACGGCTATGAAACTGAGGACGGTGCAAAAGCGCCTTGGCAGTAAGTTTTTCTTTTTCTGCATGGATAAGTCGATAAGCGAACCCTCTAACGTATAATGCACCTGTTTCAGTGGACATGCTGTCTCTGTCGACGGCGCTCGAGCAGTTCGACTCGCACGGTCTGCGCGCCCAGAACGACAAACTCATCGACATCCCGGACATGGTGACGGTTCTCGGGGACATTTACGAGCGCATGGCTGCCGATAATCCCAACCAGATCTCTGCGGCTCTCTGTGTTGATCTAGCCATCAACTGGCTGCTCAACGTCTACGATAGTCAACGTACTGGACAGATACGCGTCTTGTCCTTCAAAGTCGGATTGGTGCTTCTCTGCAAGGGCCACCTCGAAGAAAAGTACAGATGTGAGTTCTCGTTTCATTGGCTTTTGTTCCTTTCATTTTAAATTGCCAGTGCCTTTTGTTACCGTGTACATTTTCTCCTCTTTCTGCGCAGATTTGTTCCGGCTCATAGCCGATCCGAACCGTCTCGTCGATCAGCGTAAGCTCGGCCTGCTACTTCACGATTGCATTCAAGTACCGCGGCAACTTGGTGAAGTGGCGGCTTTTGGTGGCTCCAATATCGAGCCATCCGTTCGCAGCTGCTTTGAGAAGGCTGGTAAGGACAAGAACGACATCGAAGCCCAGCACTTTTTGACCTGGCTTCAGCAAGAGCCACAGTCGATGGTTTGGCTGCCGGTACTACATAGGCTCGCAGCCGCCGAGAACGCCAAGCATCAGGCCAAGTGCAATATCTGCAAAGAGTATCCCATCGTTGGATTCCGCTACAGATGTCTAAAATGCTTCAACTTTGACATGTGTCAAAACTGCTTTTTCTCCGGCAAAAAAGCTAAGAACCATAAGCTCACACATCCGATGCAAGAATACTGCACAGCGGTTCGTAATTTGCTATATACATACATGATCCATATCTACAAAGAGAAAAATTTTTCAGAGTCTTTCGACGCGATTAATGTGAAAAACAGCCGAATTATTCTCCGCGAAATTATTTCGATATATCTTAATACTAGTGTAAATTCGACAGAATGCCAACTTATTGTGGCACAAGATCGGAGAAAAAGTACATAACGAATGCTTCGGTTTTTTTCACAAGGGTCCGACCTGAGAAATCACAGCCCATTTTTCTCCATGTACAAATATTATTCATTACTTTAAATGTTGTTTTCATTCACAGACTACTTCGGGTGAGGATGTTCGAGACTTTACTCGTGCCCTGCGCAACAAGTTCAAGTCGAAACGCTACTTCAAAAAACATCCACGCGTCGGTTACCTGCCGGTACAGACGGTGCTCGAGGGCGACGCTTTGGAGAGCCCGGCACCTTCACCCCAACACAGTTCGCTCAGTCAAGACATGCACTCGCGCTTGGAAATATACGCCTCGCGCTTAGCTGAGGTCGAGCTGTCGCGCACACGAAGCAATTCAACGCCCGACAGCGATGACGAGCACCAGCTCATCGCTCATTATTGCCAGAGCCTCAATGGTACCGATGGCCTCAATGCTCCACGCAGTCCCGTACAGGTGATGGCAGCCATCGACGCCGAGCAGAGAGAGGAGCTCGAGGCTATGATTCGTGAACTTGAAGAGGAAAACGCCACTCTGCAAGCCGAATACGAGCGACTGCGCTCAAAGCAGACTCCCGGCTCGACGCCGGAAGATGGAACACATAGTGGTAGATTGACCGACTGTGATATGATTGCTGAAGCTAAAATGTTGAGGCAACATAAAGGACGTCTAGAAGCTCGTATGCAAATCCTTGAAGACCATAATCGTCAACTCGAAGCACAGCTTCAAAGACTCAGAGAGCTACTACGTGAGGTAAGATACCTATAATATGTACTTAATTAATTTAAAAATTTTTTTCAACCTCGCATCAAAAGACTTTAAATTTTTTTCAAATTAATTTGCAGCAACCAAATAGTGAATCACCTTCAAAAACTGGAACTTTGCAGACGCGCAGCGTAACTGCTTCACAACTGGCAACCGATTCACCAGCTAAAATGAATGGCCATTATCATGATTCTTCGGGTACGTCCATAAATATTCTTTACTTATTCCTCATTATCCATAATAAACTTACTTGCCATCAATCCCATCTAAATTGGACATATAATTCTCATTAACAACATTAACAATTGGTTTATCATCTTCATTGTTATGTATCAAGTGAAATACGCAAGACAAACGATAACTTTTTCTGCTCGTTATAATTTTGGAAATTTTAATAACAAAGTGAACATTTGTCTTGTTATTTCAAAATCATTTTGGTGTGTCTGAAGTACCTAAAAATATCCTCATAACATTTTCCTTTCTATCCTCCCCCTATCTTTCTCACAATGTGAATTCGCGCTCATTTCGATCATGGTCTGCGGGCCGCTTGTAGGTGGTGGTAGTAATGGAATAGCAGACGGTGGCCGGGTCAACAGCTTAGAGAGACCGCCTCCTCCCCCTCACAACGTCAACAATCTCTTGCATATGGCAGGTTTGTGGCTGGTTTTCTTTCATTTCCATTTTACATTATTAATCATTAATACGTTTGATGTACATTTTTTGAACGAGTCATTTATTTTATTTCTTCATAAAAGTGTGTACAGATGTGTATCATATTCAATCAGTGCACCTTTTGAATTTCAAACAGTCTTGTTCAAATGATCCTTTCACTAATATTAATAACTGCAAATCCTAACACTTTAATTTTTCGGCACAAATTACACAAAATTCTGAACTATTTTCATGCATACTCTGCCTCTAATAGGATGGATGTAAAAAGGTGAGCATATATAAAATGGTGTACATTTCATTATTGTTTGCTTATAACATGCTTTGCAGCTTATATATTGTTGCATTTGACTAATTTTTCACTTAATCATAATGATTATTTGTTCCGTTTATAATTTTAATTATTAGAGGTAAATAAATTCTTGAACAATTTTTACTGATTATATATTTAACTTCATGACTGTTAACAGAAGATTTGAGCAAAGCCGTTGGCAAATTGGTGACATTCATGACTGAAGAAAGTGCGACCGAAACAAATGGAGAGGATTCAGAACAAGATCGTAGCAATAGTCAGGAGTCGCATCAGTCTTCTCAGCAACAAGAACAAGAGGAAAAATCTCCACCACCACCAGTTTTCAAACCGTAATATTCGATCGAGACGCAATTGAGAAAGAAAATTTTTTATCAATTTTCACTGCGCACGTGAAAGTGATGAAATGAAATCAATATTGAGATTGCATTTATACATGTAGCACAAAGCAAAGGCACGAGCAGAGATGATGCATTTGTATATCATTATATAAAATAATTAAGCGTCACATTGCTAAACTAATTATACGTAAAGCTATTCTTCATATTGACCAAGAGGGGATAAGTCTGGTTTTTATCGCATATCAATGAAAGGAACAAGAACTAGTTTTTAAATCTAGCTTGTGCATTCATTTTAGTAACCGATAAAACTCGATCCATTAAGTTGCATACGCGAAATGTAAACAGGGTCTACATAAAAGTATGGTTGACAGCGAAAGACTAAAAATTTTGTTGTTTCTTTTTTTACCTGAATCACGCCATATCACAGGAGATTTTAAGGATTTGACAATAGTCGAGGTGTAGGAAGTATTTAGTTGCTCTTTAATTGGTGTCATGTTTCAACTGCAAGAGGCAGAACTGGATCTGAAAAATATCGATGCTATTTCAAAGATGATGCTTTCTCAGTATATATGCAAAAAGCGCGAAGAATAACAAAGCCGAGTGCAAACGCGAGAATGGCATTGATCTTTGAAGCTTACATATATTGTATATCTCGTCATATCATTGCCAAAAAAGAAAATTTAGAATACGCTAAATGAAAATTGTTTTAAATTGTTATTAATGTAATAATCGGAAAACGAACGAAATCTATTGTTATATGCCTGCTATATATATATAAAGTGTATTAGACAATTATGAAATTTACGAAATGTGAAAGTTGACATGGATAAAAATAACTACACATACATGTTAACATAACGAAAGGAACGAAAAATCCTAATATTATTATTACACATGTATACAATGCATGCAAAATGGTAAAGAATGAACTCTGAATTAAATTACATACTCTCGTAGGCTATATAGAAAAAGAATGGCATTCACGTTGTTCCCCAGATACCCGCAAAACCTCGTTACCTCTTTTCATTCCTCTGCAACAGCTTCAAGCCACATTTATCTTTTAATTCAAGTACTTATCTATTTACCGAAAAAAATGAATAACAAAAAAGTGCAAGCTCGCGCACATTCAGTGCTCGGAGTAGTCAGAGACCAAATTTGAAAAATTAAGAAGCTCCTCCAGCACGTGATTGCATATTTTATCTTCTATCGAGGACTACCTCCTGTGAATTTTTCTAGATTTTTTTAACCGAAGGTATTTAACGTATGACCACTAGCCAATTTGGCTACTTGGTTTTGTGACTTACGTTCTACTAATGAACGAACGTTGATTAAATAAATATACGTATGTTTAAAAATATCAATAAACAATAATAAAAACAAGTTCATGTCTGTTATTTCATTTTCCCCGTTGGACTTTTACCACGCTTAGTTAATACTAGGAAGAATCTAAAATATTAAATAGCAGCTCTTGACAGCTAAATTGAGAATAGCTACAGGATGAGCAGCGATGACACATTGAGCGTGCATACGCAATTTTACACCACGCATAAAATCCAAGCATAGGTACGTATAAATGGATGTAGCGTCGACGGTAAATGAATCAGTTATCAGTCGATCTACAGAAACAGTTCATCTACGGGAAAGCAGAGTATTTGTACGCCAAACAACATAGCACTGAAATAAATGACATCAAGTTAATTGCATTTAGCGGATCGACGCAGTAAGTAGCTTTACAGCTTTTTTGAAGTGCTACTTTTGAAACACTTTTAAATAAAGGTGATTTTTGCAGATAAAAGGAATGTTCTCAGATCAAATAAAACATCCGATTGTCATTTTCATTATAATGGGAGTTATAATCCATTCGATGGGTCAAGTTAAAAGTGATAATTTTGTAACGAAACTAATTAATGATTTTCATAAAAAATTGTACCAAAGATTTGACAAAGATTTAAAATATTCATCCGAATTTGTGCCTAGAAACGATAGCATTTTAAATAAAATTTTGTTCGGTGCAATGATAAGAATACCAACTTACTGTCCTCCCAGAAAATATGTGAAAATTCGTGGCAAGTGTCGTCGTGTATACGGAAAATAAAAATTATTGTTCAACTAAATTTCAAACAAAATATGAGTTTTTTTTTTCCTCATTATTCTTTCTTTTTTACAAATGTTCTTTTGTAATATTGATTTCGTGCACATGTGTTATAATGTTTTTTAAAAATAAAAAACATAGTTTGCAACAAAGTTATTTTATTTTTTCTAAGAATTAAAATTCTTGCTTTTCTATACATTATTGCATCTTAGATAATAATATTTCATTTAAAATTTATATTCCATTGCAGTATAAATTTGCTGAACGGCAAAAGGCACGTATTAAAATCAATTTCATACCAGAAGATTGACCACTTATTCTATGAAAAATTATGCCAAGATTTGTGTGCATAAATGTCAGTCGTTGATTATATTTAAAAACTTTCAAATCAATCAAAAAAACCCAGGCCATAATTTTTTAGTGGAAGATGATCATGACCTAATGAACAAGATATTATGTTTCATCTAAGGCAGTGATATTCAAAATTTACACGTTTTCTTTTTACATTAGTGCCATCTAATTTAATTTAAAATTTTGTTCTTTTTTTAATTTTTTAGATTAATTTTATGTCATCACTGTACAAACTGAACAAATGTGACAAGATAATTAGAAAAACAAATATACGACTGTTTGTATCGACTGATGCTTAACTAAACCTCACAAAATTGGTTAATTTATATAACAATAATAAATAATTCTATCTTGCACAAATACTCATGATATTTACAAAAATACACACTCTATACAAATATTTACATTTCTCAAATGCATATTAATATTACACATAATTTCATCAGTTGTAATTTTTAATCAGGTTTGAAAATAGGGATTTTTGGAATAAATTCAATGGACAGAACCTGCAAAAAAATAAAATAAAAAACACATTAAGGTAATAATTACGTAAAAGAAAACTTTAAACTACTAAAGTAAATAAAATCCATCAATTTGAATTATTATTATTTTAAAATTTCTTACATGTTCCATCATTGAAGAGCTGTCACATCTTTGTTTTGTTAATTTCCAGTGTAAGCCCAATTTGTGGTACAGTCTACTATTTTCCCACTCCAGTAATTTATTCAGAGAATGTTGAGTCTATAAAAAAATTATAATAAGTATCTCTGGCAATAATGAATTAATTGTTGGAAAAATTATTGTTAGTTAGAAGGTACCCTTTTACTGAGACAAACAACAGGCCATAGAGAACATCCTAAGGTACAGCAGCAACAAACACATCCACAAAAGAGCCATTTGACATTCACTGGCAATGTTTTCTTAAGAACACTGTTTATTCGCATGACAGTTGCTTTAAACTCCTCAGGTGCAACTCTAGAAACTAAGCCATTAGGAAAATCCGTTTCAAATTTATTGCTGAGGCCAAATCTGAAATGAGATGTCAAAAGTTGAAAATCAAAATACAAGTGCTTAGAGTTATTTGAGATTAGTTTACTAACACAGTCATATTCCCAGCTCCGCGAATAATTATAGGCTCGGGTACAATCGGAGTCGCTGCGTAAGACTGGTCAGCTGCTGTCGATTCATTTCCAGATCCTGGCAAATCCTCCTCCTCGTAAATTGCATCGAAATCCGCCATTCTGCGTTTGTATCTTTATGTATGGTATAAATTCGTATCTATAAAAGTATATAATTCGTATGAGAAATATGTGCATCCACGAGCGAACGAGTGTGTGCGTTTATGAGCGACTTTTCTCAATAATTATAGATCACTGTGCGGACAAAGGAGCACAATAAAAATGAATCATTCGCGAAGATGCCCCCCGACAGCCCTCCCAATACGTCCAAAAACATAACATTGACGCACCACAGATGAAGTTTGACAACTGCGCCAAATTTGAACTTTGAAATGCGAATCGACTCGCGAATTAAAGTACAGGCGACAAACAGAGAACAATGGGATTTCGTTGCGCGATTGCGAAGCAGATTTGAGGTTATAGACGTGGAAAGTGAAATAAGCACAGCACAAATCTGCACAAGTATATAGGCACTTGTAAAACTGCTGCGTGAGTATAATACGTGTATGTATATATATATACCTATGTGGAATATTGCTTCATCGAGAGAAGTAGTGGCGAGCATACGATATATATGCTGTATTGTGTATCCTATTGAGTTCAGGGCAAGCATGCAGAGCGCAGAAGACTGCTGTTACACCGCAGTGCGGAGTGCTGCTTTACTTGCGCTGCCTCTGCTCGCTGCTGAGCAGCTCTCTACTTACTCTGCTCTCGAAAATTTTATATATAGCGCGTGTCGACGTGCGTCAGATTGTCGCACACTGAATGTATACTTATATATAGACGCTATATTGCCAGAACAGTCCACGCAAACCGAAGCCACGAAAAAAAAAGATCGGGCAATGACACCACCGAAACTGTGGCCTTCGAATAATTAAAATATCATTCTGCTGTCGTCACGTTTTTCTTTCTCCGAAGACCGAATAAAACTTGTCATCCCCTCGTATGCTCTGGCCAGAGCTGAATTCGAATCGACGATCGATCAGCGCGCTTTTTTACCACGCGAGGCCAGTAGTGCGTGATTATTCATATAAATTGCGCTTGCGAGTTGCGACGCGAAATCCAGAGGCGCCACCGGTCGGAACTCCTTATTGTCCATTTTCGCTGGCTTGGCCGATGCTACTACGACTGAGCTGTCACTGAGTCAGCTTTCTGCTCGTTTTTAACTCCCCCTCGAACGTCTCATTATTCCTAATTCGACTTTGGGGCAAAAAATGAGAAAACATTGAGATTTCGAGAAACATCTTGGAAAGAGACTTGAGGAAGAAACGGCTCTGGGTGTAGTAGCTGCTTAACTATGTCATCGCCAAGCAGCACTAAATTGCAGGATGATATCAACAGCATACCCTTGGCCGACGATGATCCTCAGGGTGAGTGAAGCGCCTTTTAACTAATTTGGATACACTTCTAACAGTTTTCTCCTTTTCTTTCCCTCAGTCATCATCCCTGAAGAAGAAAATAATTCGGATGCTAACGCCACCGCGGTGACCAACTCGCAATCGAACGATATCAATCGTGTACAAAGCATGGATTCTTTAATGTCCAGTCTGACTAACAGCAGTTGTAGTCACAACAGTAAGTATTGTTAGCTTGATAAAACTATTAGCACATTCACGCATCCTCGAGGGGCTATTCTCTACCCAAATTCAATTGTCATTTCTTGTTGCACTGTAAATTATACATCATGTCTATAGACACAAACAATTATCAGACCAGTCGAGTCAAGACTTACTCTTGCGGCAGCTTTGTTGATATTTTGATTTTATATGTTACCAGCACTCATTTTTGGCTTAAAAAACACATCTGTAAATCTTTAACAAAGTGGATAGCTCTTCAGGAGTAATACATTTTTTTGTAGGTTTGATGTATGATGTAGGGTGTCTTCTAGGTTTGGATCCAGATGTCAGTCCAGACGAGCAGCAAGAGAAAGCGAGACTTATCGCTCAAGTTCTTGAGCTTCAAAATACGTTAGATGGTAAAAATTAATTTAAATTCTCACAAAAATTGTTACTCCAATTTGTTCAACTTTTTTAACTGTATTAAAAATAAAATTTCAGATTTATCTCAGAGAGTGGATGGTGTTAAAGAGGAAAATCTCAAACTCAAAAGTGAGAATCAAGTGCTGGGTCAGTACATTGAAAATTTAATGTCAGCCTCCAGTGTATTCCAATCTACAAGTCCTAAAAATAAGAAGTAATATCAGTGTGTACTTGTTTGTTGAACAAGGAAACAGACACAAAAGAACATTTGTTTTACTTTCAGTATTTGTATAAAAGCAAATATTTTTCCAAGTTGCATTTGTACCTTAGCATTTATACCAAAGATAAGTTTTTTGAGCACTATAATAGCTTCACATGTAAATAATTTATATTGTTTAATCATATGAAAACGAGTCATAATATGACATGTCACGTTTTTACGCTTAAAATTTGTCAGAATGTTGTGATTGTGTTTTTTGCAATAAGTCAGTATTGCTATGGTACGCCTATGAATAAAAACAAAGCAGTTTTCTGCTCAAATTTCTAATAGAAAGACTTGGATACTTATTTTCAACTTACAGTTTGAAAAGCGCGAGTGGAGAATTGAAGAGTATGCAGGTATGGTCGATCGGTCACGGCATGCGCGTAGACACTAGATTAGGAAAAAAACCTATGCGAGCCTAGATCACCTTGTCAAATTACACAATACAAGAGCTGCGTGGATAAACGGTTGTAGTTTCGATTGTTCTCAGTACCTGTAGTAGTTTCGATCCGTTGTCGATGCATGCACGATTCCAAAGTGCAGGTAACGTTGTATATTATAATAAATTAATACCTAATTCGATTCAACGATTTTCTCTCGATGACTTTGGCCTTGCTTCTAGAAGAAGGAACAATTAGCTAGATAGAAAATGGCCGGTACAGAGAGCACACACGCAGCGTGGAAATATGTTGCTGTAATCCCCTCTTTTAACTGATATGCGCTAGGCACACTCCGGACAATCGCATATGTAATACATAATACTTAACTAGCGGCAAGTGTTGAGCGTACGTGTGTGCACTGCGTCGCTCGATCAACGTGCGCGCGCGAGAGCTACGCGCCTTTTGCGTCGACATAATATAATAGATATCAGCGATCATTGCACGCGCGCTTTCGGAGAGAGACGACAATCGGCCGACGAGGCGCGCAAAAGTGCAGAGCGAAGGGAATTCTACGTAAGTAATCCGACCGATCGAGATCGAGAACGCACGAGTGACGACGATCGGAAAGTGGCATTTATTACGTACGTAATATTAAAATACAAGAGAGCAAGGACAAGCTTCGGCACATCATGGTTCAGCTAGTTTCGGGCTTCGCCAGCTCGGCGGCTGCGGCTCGGAGCGGCTTCAGGGCCATCATTCTGGGCGCACCGGGCTCGGGCAAGGGCACCATATCGGCCCGCATCGTCGACCTGCTGCGAGTCACGCACATATCAACCGGCGACAAACTGAGGCAACATATCGCCGATCGGACCGGTTAGTGCATGCTCCATTGCAATTATATTCTTTGCGCGTCTACTATAAACGATCTATTGATAACTCGCCGCGATCTTTGCACTCTATCGACTTCTCGTTTCGCAGAACTTGGAGAACGAGTGAAACGATATCTCGATTCGGGCAATCTAGTTCCAGATGACGTGATGATTAATCTCATCGACCGAGAGATAAATGCATTGAAGGGAAAGAACAACTGGCTTCTGGACGGTGAGCTAGACCGCAGAAACATTTTCAATGATCGTTGCATGCTTTAGACATTTCATATACCAAATCGCGGGCGTACCGATCTTTTCTGCATAGGATTTCCGAGGACTCTGTCGCAGGCCGAAGCTCTGCAGAGGATTCAACCGGTTTGCCTGGTCATCAACGTTGACATACCGCATCGGGTTATAATTGACAGGTTGAAAAATCGTTGGGTGCATCTGCCCAGTGGCCGAGTGTACAATCTCGGTTTCAACGATCCCAAAGTACCGGTAAGTCGCGACGTTCGATCAACCGTACCGATCTTTACCGGTCGTCTTAATTACGTCTGCACTCTGGTTGTTGCAGGGCCGCGACGACGTGACCAACGAACCATTGAGCCAACGTCCGGACGATCGGCCGGAGATCGTCGAGAAACGCTTGCAACGACATGCCGAGATGTCCGCTTCCGTCATAGCCTTTTATGAGCGTTTGAACTTGTTGAAATCGTTCTCCGGTGAAACGACAGACAGCATTTGGCCCTCGATACAGCAGCACCTGACGCAGTTCCTCGAAGTCTGACCCCACGTTTCGCAGTCGGTCGCGTACTAATCGATTGTTCAGATACTTCAATAAATCGACCGATTGCATTGACTTGAAACTCGTTTTATTTCATAATTTCTTTGAGTTAAATTAAGCAAGACAACTATTATAGCCACTACTATCTCAGCTATGTACCAAAAAAATTACCCATCTCATACATCGAATAATATTGCAGCATCATCCAGATGAGACAATCTACTGAATTTTTTTTATCATACACAATCGTCCGATTGACACAATAATGTCATTGCACGATGATTAAAATAAAATAGCTTCTGATGCGGCAGCGTGTTCGAATGGAAAATATTCCAATTACAAATGAAATTCACATCGTCTGCATTTTAAGCTGACTCAAGACTAAAGAGAGACAATAATGCTCCCAGGATTACAACGCATCATCGGAGACACAACAATTGCGTTATCGCTTTTCATACTTCTAAACATTTTTTATCAATTTGATTTATGTGTAATTCATGACGAAAAATGAAAAGTGTGGTAATTATATAAAATGTTTTGAACGTGAAAAAATAAATGTATTCAGCAAGTGGCAATTATATAATGTAAAAATAGAAAAGGAATACACTTTTTTCTGAGTAAACCGATCAAAGGTGATGTTAGTTTGTATGAAATAATATTAGCTGATTCATTTGTCGGCAATGCATAATTCATAATACATAATACATATTGTAAAATCCACTCGGGCGAGTAAGTATATACCTCTGACAGTTTTATACAGCTTGATCATGAAGGTCAAATTCTGCCCTATTGACAGTGTCGTGTACTATTTGTCGTCGGTCGCGTTACAAGATCAGTACCTAATACATATGCCTAGTATGGTACGCACTGACACGACCGCGTAGTATGTGTACACCTTTACAGTTACAGATTTCAGTTTACTAAATAACAACCGCAGATTCCGCCTATACACTTTTACTTACATACACACATAAACACTCATACGACACATGTATACTTGGGTACTTGCTGCTGCTGACTGCACGATAATCGCAGCATTAGTGAGAGCATGTAAAACACAGACAATATGAAATAGAAACAACCATCAAACATGATAACTTCCAGACTAAAGTTTCGACAAGTACAGAGTGTTAAAATGTTTTTCAAGTACTAATATGCAGAAATTCGTTGAATCATCAGAAGACTAATGAGTTTTATCGTAAAATAGATTTCGCTTGTACACATCTCACCAGGTGAATTAACTTATGTTTTTATTGATTACCTGCTAAACTTGAACAGTTCTAAATTGTTCTTATATTATTAACTTTTTAAAAGTGAATTATATCATAAATCACTTCATTAATAGCTTAATTTTCTTCTTGCATCTCAAACCTCTAGGAGGTTATAAAGAATTGAACATTTTTTTTGCAATTTTCTTCTACTTGTCAAACTGCAAAAAGTATTCCATATCAATGAGTATATTATATTTACAGAAATTCAGAAACTGGTGAAAATGCTTCAACGTTCATACAGTTTTTTCAGTATCATTTATCACAATGTTGATATTCATTGTAAAAAGCGACTTTGCCAATATCACTTGGAGCTCTCTAAAAGATGCACAAGTACTTTTGTGAGGAAAAAATCATCATCGATTCCATCAAAGCTTTGTAAAAAAAACCTCAACAAATATGGTGACGCGAGGTGGATTTGCGTCAACTCACAGTTGGCCAAGTCTGCTAATAACATCAAAAACAAAACCGACGAATCACAAATATCTAAAAAAAAAGAAGATACTGATAAATCAGAATTAATCCAAAAAGTAGTTCAATTAAAAGAAGAAAATTTAGGTAAATTAAAAGAACGTGATCTTAATATAGAAGCTGTAGCTATTACTAATGAAGAATCCTCAAAACATAAAGAAGTTAAATTAAATAAACAAGACAAAGCATTGAAGAGTGAAGAAGCAACTGTGATAGATGAACCAGTAGTTGTTCCGTCAACAGCCACCACAACAAAAGGTGTGATTTCTTGCTCATTACTTGGTAGTCACTTGGCATACATTTTTAGACATGATGAATTTTTGTAGCTCCTCAGAAAAAAAGAATCAGGGTTGATTTAACTGCATCGTCTCTGGAACGAAACTTTATAACACCAATAAGAGCAATGTCTGATTTTTTACTCAAACCAGGTGACCTTGAATCATTACCAAAAACAAAAAGAAGATCTCCTTATGAATTTGAACCACCAATTACAGTATACTGGAGGAAAGATGTTGAAGCAAAGTAAATATTAATTAAATTGAATATTAAAATTTTCACAAAGCTATAAATTTATAATATGGATATTTTCAGGGCACTGGAAGTTTGGGGATCTAAAGAATTACTGTGGAAAGAATTGCTTAAGAAGGATATAGAAAGAAAGACTTATCAACAAAGTAAGTAAAATTTCAATATTATTAAACGGCATTATAGAATTAAAAGTAATGCATTACTTGGCACAGATGTATTCACGGTGAAGAAACGCTTGAGAGATTATAGAAGAGAAGTTGGAAGTTTATCTCAAAATTATGAAAAAGAAGGACTCTTTGGTAGATCTGGAAAAGTTGTTTTAATTGCTGTAGTCATGTAATGCAGAAAACATTTTCTTCAATCATAATCTTAACTATATCAATTATAAATAATAAATATATTATTGTTTTAGAAATGGGAGTAATTTCCTTTTCAAACTCATGGCATGGATTTTCACTGGATCCCACAGCATGTTTTCAGAATGTATTCATTCATTAGCTGACACCATTAATCAACTAATTTTAGCTTATGGCATACATAAATCTGTTCAGGTACCAGAGTAACAGATACTTATTTTCAATTAACACTTTCAAAATGTTGATAATTTAAATTTATTTTTAGACTCCTGACTCTGATCATCCATATGGTTACACAAATATGAAATATGTTTCATCTCTGATATCAGGAGTGGGTATTTTTTGTGTAGGGACAGGTTTATCTATATACCATGGAATACATGGTATTATGTTTCCTGAACCTGTTGATTCATTTTATTGGGCATATGTTGTGCTGGGAGGTTCATTAGTATCAGAAGGAGCCACATTAATGGTTGCTATCAATTCTATTAAAAAAGGTGCAATAGAAAAAAAGAAAAGTTTAAAAGAATATGTAATGACTGGTCAAGATCCATCTGTTAATGTTGTATTAATGGAAGATTTAGCGGCTGTAAGTTAACAATTTATTTTCATGAACCTTAATGATAACAATTATTGATACTAGTTTTTTTTAGGTGTTAGGAGTAATGTGTGCTGCAGGCTGTATGGGTTTGACCTCCTTCTTGGGTAACCCCATCTTTGATGCTATAGGTTCTTTAGTTGTGGGTGGTCTTTTGGGAGGTGTAGCATCATTCATCATATACACAAACGTGGCTGCTCTGGTGGGTCAAAGTATACCTCAAGAAAGTCTTGATAAAATAAATTCTGAACTGGAGTCCGACATTATGGTCAGAGCTATCCATGATGTCAAAGGTATTGATATGGGCAACAGTCTTGTCAGATACAAAGCTGAACTCGACTTCGATGGCCGAGAACTGACCCGTTCCTATTTAGATAAACATGATTTGAACACGATGCTTGATGTAATATATTTCAATAATATTAAAGATTTTAATTTTTATTTAACTGGGATTACTAAAGAATTTTTCAATGTATTTTTAGGAAGTAAAGAAAATGCAGAATATCGACGAACTTGAATCATTTCTTTTAAAGCACGGTGAGAATATTGTTGACATGCTTGGAGGAGAAATTGACAGAATAGAATTGAAATTAAAAGTACGTATAAATAATTAAGAAATCAATGTAATCTGCTGGATTTTTTAATGATAAAAAATATTTTTTTTAGAAAAAGCATCCTGAAATCCGGCACTGTGACTTAGAAATTTTGTAAAATTGTAACGTATTTCAAATTAATACGACTGCTTCGATTTTAAAAAACTGTATGCTAATGAAAATCATTGAAATTATTAATGTAATCGTACATACATTTTTGATATGCTACTTTATTATTGTAAAATTAATTAAAAACAAAGAAGGTTGTTTAATCATTAGTTTTTAGCGATATAGATATGTACATAAAATCAAAATTGAAATAATTATTATCGTTTTAATAAAACTAATGTTACGTTTTCACGATCAAATAATTTTTACTACCTTACAGATGTTGAGTTAATCGAGATCCCAAAGTTAAATTAAAAATGAAATTTTTAAAATTCGTTTTTTTGATTTCTAATTTTATAAAATTTTTATCACATAATGCTAATTAATACAATGATGCAACCAAAGATACTGCTAACGAGGGGAAAAATTCATTACAACTGGTATAAGATAAACGAATTTTTTTATTTGCATCCTTAAATGTTCAATATCATATAATATTTTATACAAGTATATAATTATGATGACACAGAAGAAATATATTACAACCAATAGTCAACACAATGTCGTTATCTTGTTTGATACAATTTCTTTTTTTCTACCGCTCGGTATTTATACAGTTAATTACATTATTTATTGGAGTGTGATAACGATCGCATGAATTTTCTCAACTTTTTTCTTACTCTTTCTAAATATTTATTACTTTATTTCTTTATGAAACTATAACTTTGCAACATTTATCTTTATTGTTACTGAAAAGTTGATTTTTTAAGGATATGACGTTGAAAACAAACCTGAAGTGTAAAATAATACAAAACTTTCTCCCATTAGGTTATTCATACATTTTCAATATAATTTAAGATTTATTGGCAAATCAATGAGAAAAAATTTTTAATTGACCAGTGTCAAAACAGCAATCGTAGTACTTCTAGTTATACCGATTGCTTTTATTTTGCAACGTAGCATTACAACAATACTTCATTTTTGATTTTTAACAACAGTTTAAAAAGGGCACATTAGAAACCTAAAATGTAGCGTTCGTGCTAAAATGTTTATTGTTGGTCATATGTCGGTCTGTTATACGGACCCAATAACATCGATGATTTTATCGTTATATTTATTTTAGGGCCATAGAGGCGAATTGAAAAGTTTACAGCTTGGACAGTAACTTACTATTGTTCGACAATAGGCCGCTGCATTATAACTTCTGCCTGATCGTCGAGCGATGTAGTTACCTCTTGGTAATTCGCTCGCAATGATGTATAATATTAACGCGTCGTTGGCGTATTATACTCGATTGACGATACACGCGTAACAATAAAATTGACCAGACGTAATAATCTATGAACTAGGCACACTTAGTCTGTTTCAATCAGTTTTGTTAAACTATCGGTAAGTAGCTCGATTCTACTTAAATTCCATCGGATTCTTCTCGAAGAATCTCTCGCTTGATTAACTCAGCTGACACTCCGTAGCAGTTTCAATCGGCATCACTCAATGTCAGAAATTGAGTCAATAGTGTACACATTTTGGGCGACGAATATTTTTTTACTCGAGTTGACGTGCACAACTCGGCCGCCGGTTTTGCATGTTCGCTCCATTTTTACGCTCGATGAATAAGAATTTCAACGATATCGTTGATATTCTTCTTACGAATTTATCATGTAAAATAATGAAATTCATAATATTTGAATCATTTTAAGCAGCAGGACCCGAACTTTAATTTTTCAAGCAGAAACAATTAATTTTTCAGCACAAAGCTCAGAAATACTTCGATCGCTATTAATACATTTTTATACAATTTAAAAAAATGACTATTGATCTTGTTGAAATATCTTGATGTTTTATTAAACTATTCTGCCTTCTGTCATGTTCTACTTTATACGTTGCATGTACATTTTTGAATCGATGAAGAGTTAGTAGTTTTTACTCACCTACGATAGGATTACTATTTTAGAAAATCTCTCGGTATAAATATCATTTTCTATCATTTTTACAGTACTTTGACATTTTTCAATGAAAAATTGGAACACGAACCAACCTGCTGCTGAGGACAATACAATCTAGATCGGTTATTGTTTTTTCGATCACGGTCACGATACAAAATTAATTTACAATTAATTTACAATGGATTTTGTTTAAGAGAAAAACTGTATAATAGTGATATTTTCAAGGTATAGTGACGAAAAGATGGCGAGCAAATATGATGAATACGCGAATTGAATACTTTTGATTGATTTAATTTTCATTATCTTTAAGGCAATGCGTGATATAGGTGAAAAGGAAAGAGGATTTAAAGAAAAGCTCAATGATTATGATTATGAAACCTTGCTCCTTGGCGATCCGATAATTATAATTCATTTTATAAAAGTTTTCAGAACGTTATAGTTTGGTAGATTATGCATTATCAGAAGTCGTGGCTCGTCAGATAACATCAATGAAGGGTAAAAAGGCGATTCAGTCTTGAAGAGGAGATCGTGGCAATACGGCCAGCCAGCAAACTACGCTAAAAGCGTAAAGGATTCATTATGACATTTTCCAATTCTGTTATAGAGCTTCTGTTGCTCTAATCATCTGCAGCAGCACTATCTGTATAGTTGCGCAATTCAAACGTCACTCTGGCGCAGCGAAACAACCCTAACTTTTCGTCCTTGTTTCTAATTTGTTTCTTACTTTTTTTCTCGTTTTTTTTACGAATCTAAGCTCTGTTTATACACTATGGCTAAGCTACTTACTTCGTTATTGGTTCTTGCTTACGGCACCGAACCATTACTCAATTTTACCTATCTGCTCTTGACTTCAGATAATACAATGATAAAATCTTATTGTACGCATACGAAATCGGGCGAATAGTTACAAATTATCCAAATGAAAAATAAATAGCTTAGATTTTGATAGTGCAGTTAGTTCGTTACGACTGAGGTTGATTCAAAGGAGCTTAACACGCCAGTCACGAGTTGCCCTTTTTTCCATTACTTGTGCAATTGTGTATGATTACGAACGTTCATTTGGTTTAGGCGATACAGTACCGTTATCAATAAGTCTTCTATTTTCGTATCCCTGGTAAAAATGCTTAACATTTAATGGGTAATTTTTGGCTAACGAAAAATTTTTTATGACATGAAAAGGCCATCAGAACTGAAAATTGATTTGTCTGCTGAAATGATCTTAAGAATGAATTTCTTTAAAACCGTGATTCGACTTATATTATTATTTTTACTTTGCCACTTGCAGGTTTACAGTTATAGGTACTCGCCATCTAGTGGTGGAGACCTAAAAATATATTATAAACTCGCTTTTTTAAACAGTTAAATTGTCATTTTTAGGTCATATAAAATGCTCAAAACAATTCAATTAATGGTAAGGTATTTTAAAACATTTTAAGAGGTAATATTTTTGATAATTAAAGTTAAGCATTTCTACTAGCGGTATTACGTATGAATTTATATTGAAACGTAGCAGTTTTTTACCTTATGCAAAAAGTACAGAAGTTGGATTTCAACAGCAAAGAGCTTACCGACAAAATAATATAGGCTTATGTTACAAAAAGATAATTAAAAGGTGAAAAGCTTTGATATAACTAACTACGAAAAGTTTTTAATGATGCATATTCATAGGTGAGAAAAAAATAAATACTAATAATAACAAGAACAAAATTATTGCATAAATGTTTCCCAAATATCTACTTTTACTTGGAACAAACAAGACAATTAATTGTTTCATGTGTGAAGATATATGACTTGCGAAATTTTGATTCGAAATACTTTTATTATATTAAAAAATGTTTTCACAATGTTATTAAAATATCAACATATATCGAAAGAACATTATCATTTACAATGATTTTTCACCTCGTTATTTCACTGTACTTTTTTATTATATTATGATAGCATATAGATAATCATTATAATTTTTTTTTATTTTTATTTATTTTTTTTTTAATATAGAGCTTAAGAAATTAAAAATGTGTCCAACATTTGTGTAAAATCAATCGTTCATTAATATTGTAAACTTTGTACGCGTTTCAGTATAAGTTAGTTGAGACTGGTAAGACTGTGGCTCTTTCCATATTGAAAATACACCTTTGTTTGGTTTTGTCATTGATAAATTACATAACTAACAGTAATCATGCAGTAAATTTTTTTTATCTACTAATCGATACAAAAGTACATTGTGAGTGTATAAGATGATAGTTGGCTGAAATTTTTCTTACATTAAAGTTGCTATTTTTATAATTATAAATATATGAGCACGCAACATTAGCCTCCGTTAAATTTGTCGATACACACTATGAGTAAAAAACACTCAAACAGCTTACAATTTTCATGGATAAATGTAATAATACAATATTTATTCAATGAATAAGACTTGATCATAATAATCGTGAATGAAGTCCTTACAATCACGCTATTTTATCGCATATCTCTCAGTCGCTAATAACTTGCCTTTTTGAACGCGAATAAATGCATCTGAAATAAATGTAATGTATGGGTGCGCAGTCAAGCAGATCGATAAAAAGCTAATAAAATTGTAGAAGATGTATACATTTTTTCTACTCTCACTCAACCCATTATTTGCTTTTCCCTGTTTAGTAGAAAAAAGTACATCCCGCATATTTTGAATAAGTGCATTATCATGTACAATAACAAATCACCCTTGATCGTCAGCTACCATATCCACAGTAATTTTCAATTTTTTTTTCATTATTTAATAATTTTTTTTTTCATATAATCACACCACGTAACAATATCATATCACGCACCAATCCCCTTAACACTCGTGTATAAAAGTTTCATTGCTGGTACAATCGTCACGCATGTATACTTTTTTGATGTATATATGCATAAGAAAGTGCAAGAAGGAAACAGTGAACAAGCGGCAAAAAAGTGTCATAAAAAATAAATCTGCATTAGACAACAATCATTTATAATGCGTCTTTAGACAAAAGCTTCTTCATTTTTCATCATTATTTAACTTTAATCTGGACATCAACTTTTTTAATCTACCGCGAGCTTAATCCTCTTAATATATAATATCGTAATAAATTGGAAATTATGCAGATTTTAAAATTA